GAAGAGACAATATTGTCCTTGTGCTTGCAAAACTCATATTGCATTAACAATATCAGCTTTAAGCAGTCGAGAAGCTGAGTCTCTGTGAGCGTTTGTACGATCTGTAGAATGAACTTTACAAAATATTCTAGATCATGCAGGATTTTTATGTTCAGTATTTTTGAGAGAGAAAGATTCTCTGAGTTATTTTTCAGGAAAGTATTGTTGCTGTTGCACAAGGAGAACAAACCTGGAAATGTCCCTGAATGTTGGCCGTTGAGGACAAACACCTCTTTTGGTCCATCAATCCTTACTCTTTCACCAACTGTTGTTTCAAATATTGGCAAAGATTTAAGTTTCCTCTCATATTCTTCACGGTTTTTAGATGCAGAGTGTCCTGATTGCAAAAAATTCTGAAGCTCATTAAACTCCTCATCTGACAAGTACAAAAATTGTGTGTGGTTGATTTTGCAGACTTGGTCCAGCACTGAACTTTTATCATGGACATCCATGAGATAATCGTGCAGAGTTAGGGAAAACTGTGGACGTACACTCCTAAAGAAGACGAGATCTAATTTTAGAAAACCAAGTTTGCAGAGGATGTGTGATATGTCTTTTTCTGAGTCATATTTGATAATACTTGACATGGCTTTCATTGTCTGCAGGAGGTGCTTGTTGTTTTGTCTTGGATCCACAACAGGTAGTATGCAGCTGTCACTGAAGAGTTCTCTAACTTCTCCCAATGTCAGACTTTCTTTTTCATCAGCACTGGATGTCTCAAGTCTAATTTCACTTGTTATGAACCACCAAAGTCTTTGCAGCCACTCCAGCATTTTTTTATTTGGGACATACAGTCCACTATGTGGATCGAACTCACAACTTTGAACAAGTCTTCGGGCTATTGGCATTAAGTATTCTACTGCTTTTGGAAGAGTGAGCTTTTTGACCAGATTTAAAGTTTCCAGAACCCTGTGTTTTCCATTAATCTCATGATCTGCAAATTTGTCATCATAACCTAAGAAAAGACTGTCATGTCTTGAAATCAGCTTTGGAGACTCAGAATTAAACTTTCTCAAAACTTCATCTTTTGTCAGAAGAAGTGAAAGACCATCAAGCGAAATAGAGATGTTCTTTTCATTTTTCTTTAACTGCACATCCTTCAAACAATACTCTAGTAGCTCTGAGCATCTTGTTTTATCTCGGATCAGAGTGGCAGCTACAGGCAAGGGTAAATCAGAATCTCTTTGCTTTGGACCATTAAGGGGCTTTACTTGCAAAAATGTACGCACGCTAGCAGGACTTAGTTCTTTCACTTCAATTCCAGCTGACTGAATGGTTTCCCAAATGTTGCACATGGTTGCAAAAGCTGGAACAAGTTTCATTCCAAGAGTTTCCAAAATGGTATTAATCTTTTCATCTTTAGGATCTGTTAAGTAGGGTGCTTTAAGGGAATCTGTTTCTGTTAGGCTGCACCACTCAAGAGTATACTCTTTCAGTTCNGACTGACAGATGTTGCCAATGTTTCTGGTGACGTACTGTGATGGTGGCTTTGTGTGAAGTCCTACTTTTTCTAGATTTTGTGAGAGCTTTTGGTTGATATAAACTGGCAGATGTATAATTGGCATTGAGGACCAGATCAAATTCCGATGTTTAAGATCTCCATCAATCAATGATCCTCTGATTTGAACCGTGGTATTCTCTGAAGCAAATGGTTGATGGTAATTGCAGAGATCCTTCTGAATCTGAACTGGAAAGATAAACCTGATATCAGCAATTCTCCTTAAAAACATTTCACCATTTTCATTTCCCCCTTTTTTCAAGGCCTCTTTAAAAAGTAGTTCTGACTTTTCTTTTAAACTTTTAAGGTTTCTTTTTTCTTTTGCTTCTGCTTCCAGCTGGCATGCAAACCTGATTATTTCATCTTCTGTCACTTCACATTTCATTCCAAGTTCTCTGACCAGATTTCTTGCTCGTTCTGGTTGATTTTCACCTTTAACAGTAAAATACTCCCAAAATATCTTTGGCACAAATTTTTCTTCAGGAATCATTTTTTTATAAAGCGTAACAGTGTCATCATAGTAGTATGAAGCACACTCTAGCTGACCTTGAGAACTGCGAATCAGCTTTACATTCTTCAGTGAAGAGATAATATTATCCTTGTGCTTGTGAAATGCTTGCTCAGATTGCATTAACAATATCAGCTTTAAGCAGTCGAGAAGCTCAGTCTCTGTGAGCGTTTGTACAATCTGTAGAATGAACTTTACAAAATATTCTAGATCATCCAGGATTTTTATGTTCAGTATTTTTGAGAGAGAATGATTCTCGAAGTTATTTTTCAGGAAAGTATTGTTGCTGTTGCACAAGGAGAACAAACCTGGAAATGTCCCTGAATGTTGGCTGTTGAGGACAAAAACCTCTTTTGGTCCATCAATCCTTACTCTTTCACCAACTGTTTTTTCAAATATTGGCAAAGATTTAAGTTTCCTCTCATATTCTTCACGGTTTTTAGATGCAGAGTGTCCTGATTGCAAAAAGTTCTGAAGCTCATTAAACTCCTTATCTGACAAGTACAAAAATTCAGACTGGTTGATTTTGCAGACTTGGTCCAGCACTGAACTTTCATCAAGGACATCCATGAGATAATCGTGCAGAGTTAGGGAAAACTGTGGACGTACACTCCTAAAGAAGAGGAAATCTAATTTTAGAAATCCAAGTTTGCAGAGGATGTGTGATATGTCTTTTTCTGAGTCATGTTTGATAATACTTGACAAGGCTTTCATTGTCTGCAGGAGGTGCTTGTTTTTTTGTCTTGGATCCACAACAGGTAGTATGCAGCTGTCACTGAAGAGTTCTCTAACATCTCCTAATGTCAGACTTTCTTTTTCATCAGCACTGGATGTCAGACTTTCTTTGTCATCAGCACTGGATGTCA